TTACTATCTATTTGTAATATGTTATAAACTTATAAAGATGTATAAAAAACTTCCTGAAAAGTACTTCTGAGTCTTTAAGCGAATTCCAAGAAATATACATTGATATCTCCAAAAGCGATGAAGGATTAAGAATATCTATAGTAAAAAATAATGCACAAACATCGTTTAAATTACCGTCAATATGTTCTATATATATATATATATATATATATATATATATATATATATATATATATATATAGCTCAAGCAATTTTTACACTACTGACCATAAAGTTTAAAAACAAAATGAAGATAAAAAATATATCATTCTAAGTGACTCATTAAACTTCCTCATTAGAGTAAAAAAACAAATTTAACGCTCATGACATAGTAAAACAAATTAAAAACATTATAAAAAACAAAAAAAGAACAATAAAATCATTTTAATCTGGATACCTAGACACATAGATATAATCGACAGTGAAAGGGCAAATGAAAAATCCACTCACAGGACTCACAACACATCAACTTTTTCACATATACAGATATAAGAAAACAGATGATTAAAGAAAACACTGCCTCTGTCAATATAAACGAAGTTTCCCCCCTCCCCAAAAAAAAAAGAAAAAAATTAAACCAAATAAAACAATCAGTAAAAAGATAGAAACGAATCCCAAATATTAGTATCATAAATGAAAAAAACTAAATAGGACCAAAATTGGTTACACAAGACATGATTCATGGTTATTTGATGGCAAAATGTGATTCTCCAATATGTTAATTATGCCGAACCATGCTCACAATTAAACACACTTTCAAGGAGTACAAAAAGTATGAAAAACAAACTGAACATAAAAGTAAGTAATCTTGTTGGAACAAGTCTAGGCCCAAATCTAGACACAGAAAGTAACATAATAGAAAATTTCAATTTAATCAAAATACTATACTTTATATAACTAAAAATTGAATGTACACAATCAACTAAATAATTGATTTAAACTCTATTGTTTTATCTATATTATTATTTATTTATTTATTTTTCTAACAAATATAATGCTAATGACCTAGTAGTTGTAACAGAAATTATTAAAATTCAAGACAAAAAATAAAAAAACTTATAAAGTAACATTTTATCAAATTTCAAAGCTGAAAAAAATTATCGCACAATCGTTTGCATATTAAACAAAAAATTATTTGAGATGGTGAGAGGATTTTATTTTATTTTATTTTTTTTTTTCAGCTAAAAAATTAATTACAATTACATGATAACAAAAAGTAAATTATTTCATTAATAATACATTAACAATAGCTGATAAATATTTTCCCAACGAGCTTCCATAGTATGGGTTCTTATTAATATCTGTTAGCTGTGTTAGTCTCCCCATTTCAATTTGAAATACTCTACATATCTTTTCATTCTTATTTCATATTTGACATAGTTAAAGTTATTAATCTGTTGTTTCATCTTCAATTAGATATTGAGCTTCTCAACTACCTGGTAGTGGTCCGAGTTGCAGTCCGCCCCTCTATATACTCTTACATCATTGTTATTATTTGTAAATATCTAATTTACTAAAAAATGTTCAATTTGATTGACATATTGTCCATCTGGTGACCTCCGTGTACCTTTATGTAGAGCTATTCGATTGTCATAAAATAATCGACTGTCCAAAGTATTAAATAATCGATAATTTCGATTAATTGAAGATTTTCATCAAGGAGTGCTAGAGTGTTCGTTTGTTGGAATAGCCAAGGAATTATCGATTAATCGATTAATTTGATCGATTAATCTATTTAAAAAAATCGATTAATCGATTAAAACAAAATATGGATAAATGTTTAACTGGTTTAAGTATAGCTCTATTGTATTTCCTACCAGGTGCCCAGGTTTAATGTTATTGGTTAACTCATTTAAGAAAAATGCAAAAATTTATCGTTAGATTAATATTTAATATACTTTTGAAATACTAAGAACTAAGAAGTATTAAGGGTATTCTGTTTGATGATTAGAATGATGATGGATAACAATTTTTCACTGTGTGTGCAAACGGTTTACTTGCCCAGGCCCCAGGGCCTCAAGTATATTATATAACAACTACATTGATACCTATAGAAAGGGGTAGGCCTACAGGAAGCTAAGAATATGACATAACTAAGGATCTGTAGTGACATACATTTTAAGATCTAAAGTGGTGCCAAAAACTGAAATTTTAAACTTGTATAGATAGGTTGACAATTTTGATGAAAGGGCTCTAATTTGTAGTTATGACTTATGCTACTATTATAGGAAATGTATTTAAAATTTTAAAGACTAAAACTAGTAAAACTCACAGCGCTTGTATTATAATTAAAATAAATCCTTATCTTTCTATTTAGCAAATATCATAATAGTTAGTTATAGACTTATAATTAGTAAGTTATTATATAATAACTGCTAATTAATTCCAGACTGTCTTGATTAATATTCTTGCTTTAATTAATATGTTAATTAAAATGTCCCCAAAAAAAGTTAAGATCTATGCCTACATTAATTTATATCCCTACCTACAAGCGCAACTACTGTCTCTTTGCACAAGTTAACTAAATGTTAACTTAAGTAGTTTAGTTTTTAGGTAATAAACTTAATAATTTTGATTTTTTTTTTTTGCATTTCGATGTATCGATTAATCGATGTTTTCAATTAATCGGTGATGAATACTTTTAAACGCAACAATCGAACAGCCATACTTTTATGTACATTTTGTATTTTCTTTACGGGGAAACATTGTGTTCATTATTCTAAATCCTTTGCCAGTTAATAGATCTATCAGTTTCATATCATTATTGTTTGTTGATTCATGTAAGTTATGCATCCCAATAGTAGGTTCGAAGAACTATTATTTTTCCTATCTTCGTATTCATATCATCCAGCATAATTCATATTTTGCTATTACTTATTCTCGAAAAGATATCTTCTAACTCATCGTAGAATTTTTCTTTTTCCTCTTGTGACTTATCCTCCGTTGGTGCTTGTACATTTAGAAATACTATGTCAAAAAACTTGGACTTTACTATAAGAATAGCAATTCTATTGTTGATAACTTTTAAATCCTTTATCGTATGCACTAGGCTTCTGTGTACTGCGAAACCTATCCCAAACTGTCGTATTTCATTGCACTTGCCATACAGAATAGTGGTATCATTAATATCTATGTTTCCTTCGCCTTTTCATCTGATTTCCTGTAGCACTACTATCCTGATTTCTTAGTTATACTTAGAGCTGTTCCTGGTTGGAAAATTGTTCGTACATTCCATGTTTCAAAAAGTAAATTCTGTTTCCTGTGTTCGTTCTATTTTCCACTGAATCTATATGTCCGAGGCTTATTGATGATTGATTCCTGAACAATGGTTTTTTTTACATGGTAGGATCGTTGGCCCGACACTTAACCCTGGGACGGGGAGTCCAGGCCGACCCTTCCAAGTCAGACTGGAAGCTATTGCTACATACCTGAATTATGTTGGAAGATGGGTGCCCACATTCCCTACGCCATCTTCTGCCCGGGACTTTCCACCAGTAAGAGCTCGTGGCCCCGGATTCGCCAAATCCGTAGTGCTAATATTTAGCACCCCTCTCAAGAAAATATAATTACATATATAAATATTTTTATCATGCATTATTGTAATATTTTATTTTATTAGTTTATTTATCTACTTATAGTTATCTGAGATTAAAATATATTGAACTTGATAGCATATTGTAAGCTTACTTACCATTAGACATTCATTTTTCTATAAAGCCTAGTTTCTACATATATTTAAAATTAAAATCATCAAAAATCTGAATCAAATTTAAAATGGAACAATAGCCAACTATTTATATTTATACTATTATTTTTACTTACCTACATTTTACGTGAAAAATTGTTGTTCAATTTGTCCAGAAATAAACTACAAACGAGTTTATATAGCCATCCCAAGAATTTTCCTAATAGTATTAATATTCTGTATCGAATTGTCCACTTGATTATTTAGTTTTAAAACTTTTATTATAAACATATCTGAATTGTTGATAATTTATAGCCAAAAGAGGTTGAACACAATTAACTGTAATAATAATAATAATAATAAAAATAATAATTTATTGTAGCTTAATAACTACAATATCACTATCATTTCTTTTCGTCATTCAAAAACCATAGTGACTTGTGCGTGCGGTCAACTGCAATAAGTAATGCATGCTGTATGATCCGTAAACTATAATATTAATACAATTGAGTTGGGCACGATGCTTAGCTAACTGCGATTGGGCAAAGTTAGTTTTTGGTACGATTAAATTCCATAACGTCCATGGTGAATACATATACCGTCGTTTCTGGATAAAGGAAGACCAAAAAGGATCCCGTGTGCTTTGGATCATTTTCGCGGACCTGGGACATAACGCGCCCGTCCGAACTTGACTTACAACCCCGTGACACGGAAAAAATGTTTTTTCTCACTTCTCTTTCTACCGTATATTTTAGCTCATACGCACTCATATATACCATATATATGTATGTTTATGAGTAAGTGTGTGTGTGTGTGTGTGTGTGTGTGTGTGTGTGTGTGTGTGTGTGTGTGTGTATGTATGCCACTCCACGTTTAATGCCATCGCGCGAAAGGGTAATGGGGATTGGCGTTTGTCACGTACACTTTCCCTTCACACCCCACTCATCAAACGAACCTTGTGCGTGAGCGAACCTAAATTTTTATATATATCAGAGTTAGTCCGCGCCTGCGTATGTGTGTGCGTGCGTTATTCTACCCTTCTCTGAACCATCAGCTATGAAACCCTCAGAACACGGGTGGCCCACCTCCTGTTATTCCCTTCTCGGCAAAAAATCTATACGGTATATATATATGTACATATATACCCAACACACACGCACACACACACACACACACACCGAGTGGCTGTGCGACGTGTCGACGGCGTTGCGGCGCCGTGCGGTCGAAAACCGATGGATTGGCTGCGGCGACGGTAGCGGTAGCGACCATGGCAGCGGCGGCAACGACGGCGGTATTGATTCCACTGGCAGTGCGCGCGGACACCGCCACTGTCGCCTGAAACGCGCGCCTGTGTCAGCCGCCGGCGTCGGCGTCTGTGGCGGCGGCGGTGGCTTCCCACGCGTCAGCCGACCGTGCGCGCTTTACACACCCCGATATCGCTACCCCTCCGCACAAGCAACAATAACACACGGTCACCACCCCTTCAACGTCCCACACCCACTCGCCGGGGACGCGTATCCATTATTACTTTAACACGCTGCCGGTAACGGCGGCAGCGGCGCAAACGCACACCGAAAAGACTGCGGACGACTACTCTGCCGCGGGCACGACAGCGATTCCCGAACCGTACATGCCCCTCGCTCTCATTTCCTTTGCTCTCCACCGCTCCACCCTTCGTACTCGACGGTATGTCTGCGCGTGTGCGCGTGTTTTCACTTGCGCGCGCACCTTACGAGACCGGCGATCAGCACGTGCGCCGCGCGGAAGCTCAATACACTGCCAACACTCGAAGACGTGGCGCAACGCATCGCATACTCAAATGCCTACTCTTGACTCTCGAGATGCACTACTGTACGTCATCGTTCTGACTGAGGTTGTTTTTCTCTCATTCAAGTGATACTAAACATATTATTCGCTGTAGATCACCGTCATTCGGTTGTTAGACACGAAAATCATATTGAATTATAATTGTTTCCGATCCACGATGAAGGATCAATAAAACTACAACGTTAATTATGTTTAGCTCTACAAACAGCAAATTGGTAATTACGATTTACTATTTATAACAGGTATTGACGTATATACGTCCATATCGATGATAAAAACTCAACAATAATTGAATCGTGAATTTCGAAAGCGCTTATTTTTGAAAATTAAAATTTTTCAGGAAATTGAAGAAACTGATTTTCTTTTAAATTGTTTTCTTTGTTTTAGCAATTAACTATAATTAATTCATTCATCAAAATAGAAAAGAAATATGAGCCCTTCTCCCTCATAAAATATCGGTCTATATGTGTAGATGAAAAAAATGTAGCAAAGTCTATTTTGATAAAAACTCGATATGGGCCCTTTTCGAAATGTACGATTCAATTGTTTTCGAGATATGTTGTGATCATATTATGATATTTTGAAGTATAATAGTCCCATTTTATTTACATACATGGTAAATTGTTATGATAGATAAAATAAAAATAATGTTGTGATAAAATACATATTGAAACGAAACATCTTAGTTTTATTATCAAATGAATGAATACAATTATCTTCACAGACATAAAATTTCCTTATAATACCACTATTAGAGCGAAATTTTTTTTTTTTTGGAAATATAATTTTAAAAGAACGGTTTTTTTAATTTTAGAAATATAAGTGTAATATGGTTATATTATTTAAAATTAATGTAATCTGTTTCTTTTAGGATTTTGATTTAAGTAAAATAAATATCTTGGATACTTTTAAATTTTACACTGATCACATTTTTTCAATCGGCCGATGATATTTATATCTGCGAATAATGATAATAATGATACTAATAGTAATAAACCTTTATAAATTTTAGTTTTAGAATTATTTATACAGTTATTGTTTAAATAGTATGGTACTTAATAGCTGCAAGAACATATATTTTTATATTTTATACTTCAAAAGTTTTAAATATTTTGTAATTATATGTATTATGTTTAAATATTACTTATATTTAAATATTATTATAATTATATAGCGATATTTTTAGCATTATTTATAAATATCCCAATTATATTTTCAGAAAATTATGGAAAAAATTCAGAAATTATATCGACCCTATCAAGTAGGAATAATAATACGGAAACCATCAAATCTAATGGGTCAAAAGTAATCGGAAAACTAGTAAGAGTCAAGTTTTTAAAATCATGCACTACGCCAATTATAACGCCTTTGGTAAGTAATTCTTTTTTTTACAACTTACGTATTTATTGAACGAAAAAATAAGTATATATGTTACATTGAAGTTGATTTGTTACTATAACAGTTTAGTGAATAATATTTAGGTTCCCAAATCATCTTAAATCAACCAAATATTTTATAAAATCATACGATTAAGTTGGAATAAAAATGTAATCGTAATATGTTTCGCATATCACGCTCTACGTACATAATATACTTTAACGTTAAATCATGAATATATTTTTGTAAATAGTAATAAAAAATAATTACTCATAATATCATTAATAAATATTGGCCTATCAACATTTATATTCTGATTACTATTGATATTTTATTTATATAGCCGTTCATTGATATAATATTAATTCGTCAGTGTATTTTGAGAAATAAATAATATGTCTAAAAGTGTCGACGAGGTAACATTCAAAAAATAATCTTTTATTTTATGTGTGATAAAAGTAAATATTCTTATAAATACTAAATTATTCTTATAATTATAAATCAAATTAAATTTAAAACATAGGATTTATATAATTAAGTATAATAATTTGCATTCAAAAATGCATCGATTAGTTTAATATTCTATAGTCATATAAGGGCCGGTTTGAAGGCGATACAAGCTGTGCCGCGGCACAGAGTCCTGCGTACTGAGGGGCCCCATGGACTGTTGGAAAAAATAAATCATTGGTCATTAATTTAATATGTCGCAAACGGTTTGTCTGTGATATGCATCAAAACTCAAAAACACATACGTCTTATTCGGTCTATTTATGTCAAATTTATAATTGTAAAAGTTAAGTTGACTTAACGAAATGTGTTGTCCTGCTCTAATGACATATAAATACTGATAAATATAGGAATATATAAGACACATACGAACGCTGCGTTGACCAGTAACTTCTATGGTTTTAACGACAAATTTATGAATCAATATATTTATAAAACTGATTTATATATATGATATGAACATGTTTTTGAAAACAAAAAGTACTGAAAAACTATTTCACAATATAAAAATACATAATGTTAATCTTACTCATAGAATAATAATCATTCGACACTAATTCATTAATATGCTGAAAATCGGTCCGTTATTGGTGCTTCAAAGTTAAACCTAAACACCTACTAAATAGGACCAGCAAAATATTTTCGCACATAGTTCTAATATTCACCAATCCGGTCCTAGGTTATGTACTGTAGAAGGGATGAAAACTTTATATTTTATGTTTAATTCTTTAATTTTCACGAAATATATTAACCAAATATTTTTTTAGCTTTTATATAATTAAAAAAAGCATGCATAATATTTTCTCAGAAAAATAATTTAAGATTTTAATTTTAGTAAGCGTTTATAAATTATTCCTATATTTCTTTAAATACGTACATTGAATAATTAATACTAAAATTGCATCTTTGTTAGTTTAATCTTAAATTCTAATTTATTTGATTAAATTTTACTCCTTTTATTATTTTTATTTATTTTCTCAACTTAAAATATATTTAATTTTATAGACTTATAATTACCATACTACAAATGCATATTTATATTTAAAAATTATAACATTTTTTGAATACATATCATCATCCGTCAACAAATGTATTTATAAAAGATTTTATTTTTTTATTTTAAAAATATTTTTTCAATCATATATTTAACACAGATAATCTCTTTGATGTTTATTATCTAAACATCACTTACTATTATCGTCATAAATATAAACATACAATAATTGAATAATTTGTTTTCGTTAAATTATTATGAATTAACATCAACCAAACAAACCTTGACCTAATAATTCTATTTTATTAATAACTTTTTTCGATTTATCGGCTGACTGATTGGGTGGTTCACTTTTCATTGGTACGGGGAGTGCATTCGAATCAACAGGTTGTAGTCGTAGCAGTTGTCTTGACGACGCTGGTCGTAAACTGTACGCTTACAATCCTGATTATTCTCTTTCCCTAAATATGTTCTCACAGCTAAAAGAATAAGTCCCATTACTCAGATATACAACAGGTATTTTTATGAAAATTTGTATAGCCATAAAATTATTTTAATTCGAATGAAAAGGAGTTTTTATAATGTGAAAAAGAATAAGTTTTTAATTTATATTGGAGATATTAACTGAAACGAGACATAAGTTGGGACATTTTTTTATCTTTACAACAAATTTATTTTCTTAGAAGTTGACAAAACATTTTTTCAACTAACTAATAAATATAAATGTATGAATATGAGCATAATATAAAATATGTTTTTATAACTATTTGATAAAATAATGTTTAATCATAAGTATAGTATGTCGGAGTCAGGGGAAGAGTGACTCAAAAATTGTAACTGGGCAAACAGGTATTTTTTGATCTGGAGAAATTGGTCTATATATGGTATATATATATATATATATTATATATAGTTTATATATGGTCTACTGTTATCAATAGCTTTTACCAATTTATTTCCACACATTTTATATTTTTCCTAGCTTCTATTGTAAAATAGTATCAGCCATAAAAATGTTTGACCATAATATCAAGTATTTGAACCAAAACACTCGCACTCAGTACATAATAGTAGACAGGTATTATTTTAAATTTATACTAATATAACACTATAGCAATAGTGTATTCACGCTAAGAGGTAATATTTCAGTTGGATGATCTTGTATTGAAATGGAGTTTTCGTAGAATGAAAAAGATTACTAAAAAACACAATTCCAAACAAATTTCAAATTGTTGACCCAGAAAGTATGCACAACTTACGTTTTTTTTAAACGAAATCACCATTTTTTCCTTTACATATTCGGGTAGAGTATGTTTTTAAACAATTTGTTTATAAAAGTGTTTTCTAATTACAAAATTGGCAAAATTGTAGTATGTTGGAGTTTAATATTTGAGATTAATCTATTTTTGAAAATACTTGAAAATTTAAATATTGTTAAATACCAGTTTGTAGACATGTATTATTTATACGAGTATAGGTATATATAAATGAAATATATAATATATATTTTGTAAACAATAAATTCTTGTTTTAGGAGTTGGTTATAATTTTTTTGTACAATGTAATAAATTATAGAAATTATTAAATTAGTTCTATATTTAGTTTTTAATATCTACTATAACTGACTAGTTCATGAATTATGAATATGATTTCATTTATGTATTATTACATTTACTACTACTACTACTACTTTATAATAAATAATTATTACAATTATTTATAATTATACCTTTATCTTGAATATCAAAATTGAAAACTGCGTTCTTACTATTAGATGTACTAAAATTTAGAAGCGCAAATCTTAATGAGCAGCAGGAGTATTGAAGGGAAATTAAGGGGTAAATTTGGTTGGTGGGTGGCCAAATGATTTATACTCGATGGTCGATTTTCAAATATAACAATAGGCATACATCAATACAATAATACTATGTAATTTATATTATTTACAATTTTTTATTTATAAATAGCTATTGAATACTTTTATTTCATCCCCTCTATCCTCCCTCATCATTCCTACTATCTTGCATCGCTGCTAGGATTTTAATCATTCATTTTTTGTTAAACATTATAAAACTCAACTCATGAGAGAAAATATTTGACAAATAATATCAGGCGTTTTAAAAAAACTGTTAAAAATAATTACATTATTTCCAGTAATAACTAATGAGCAATTCAACACTTAAAGGTAAAAGCGATTATATATATATTTTAGGTATAATATCAAACATTTTATTTAAAACTAAAACTTGAACTTATATTTTTTTTATGTATAGAATAAATATACTAGAATGTTAGAAATCAATTTTTAGCGTGCATTGGACTTGCATAATTTCTGCACAATAATATCTTAAAGTATGTTCCTAAATATATGAAGTGTTATGTACCAAAAATTACCATCCCGTCATAAATATTTTTCTATGATAATACTAAAAAAAATGTTCGGTTTTATAGCCAAATACATATCGTAGGTTTTGTTTTTTCTGCATTACGTAATATATTATGTTTAATAAAGGCATGTTCTTTTTGTAATAGAAGTAAATTTAACATTAATTTTTGCTTTTTAATAAGCGATAATATATTAAAAATTCTCTTCCGTGTATTTCACTATTTTATGTACGTTTAACAATGATAAAAAATTTTAAATAAAATTCTAAAGTGAGATATAAAACAAAATTTAAACTCACCACGATACCATACATTTTCAAATCACCATCATAGGAATTTATATTCGGCCGCATGACAAAAATATCGATCGTGCGGTTGAAATTTGAATCGCAGATGAAATGTTTGATTTTAGATTTTATTATGTCGTATGATAACTTAAAATGTATGTTTATATATCAAGAAATACGAATATATTATTATTAATATATCATAGGAATTTTCAAACTAGTGGACTTGACATTTTTTAAATAGCATCCAAAGATATAATTTAATACTAACTTACATTATATGTAACATTATATTGATTTATTGAAAGGATATTTATTATACTTTAAACATAATATATTAAGATTTTTTTTGGTAATTAAAATTTTATTTACCTAGATCCTTTATTATGATTTTATTACGAGTATAATAACATTGATTAAATTTTTTGGTTATACAATAATTTAATTATTATTAAATACCTATTTATTTTATTTATACAGTCGACTCTCGGTAACACGAAATTCTTGATATCTCGAATAATTAAAATTCCCCTTCAAACAACAGTAACACTTAATGTTTAAATAATCTTGTTAACTCAAAAATTAATTTGACAAGTTTCCAATATCTCGAATTTTCTTATCCAAATTCAGTACTAAAAATTGTTTATCAAGGTGATTATTTTTCTTATAATTTATTATTTTTCAAATGTTTATCTGAAGAAAAATTCATATTGAAAGGATAATCTTGTTCAGGTGGAAAACACAGCAAAGAAAGAGTAATAATTTTGTTAGGGGCAAATATGTCGGGCACAGAAAAATTAAGACCACTTTTGATTGATAAGTAGAAAAAACTAAGATGTTTTAAACAAGTAAAATCATTACCATTAGATTATTATGCGAACAAAAAATCCTGGAAGACATCTGAAATTTTTAATTTGTGGTTAATAAAATTAGATTAAAAAAATGGCCACTGAGTAAAGGAAAATCTTACTTATTATTGATAATTGTACTGCAAACAATTTAACTTAAACTTTTAATGCTATTCAAGAGTTATTATATCCTAATACTACATTTATATTACAACTATTAGACCAAGGCATAATAAATAATTTTAAAATATTTTACCGAAATTATTTATTTAGACCACTAGGTATTTTAGAAAATGGAACTTAGAAAAACGTATTAAATAAACAAAAACAATTAACTTTACACCAATTATTTAAAAATAATAAAATATAAGTAGGAATGCAAGAATTTTTATTAATTTATTTTTATTCCTTTAATGTAAAAATTATTTAAAAATAAAAACATACTTACTAAAAGTTTTTGATAACTTGAAATTTTTAGTAAGTCGAATTTTTATTTTTCCCCTTGAACTTCGAGTTACCGTGGGTCGACTATACTATTCTTAAGCGTATAACACTATTGACTTAAATTATTAGAAACTAAGCAGTGTAACACTGTAAAACTGTTCAAAATATTATCCATATTTAGTAAATTATATTTTCTTCTTTATTAGAAAACTTAGTAAATCCAATTATTAATTATTTTGATTTTTTATCACTTTTATTCAATTTCCAAAAAAACTGAGTGAATTCTGAACCAAACGGAAATGAAAAAGAGAAAACGCAATAAGTTTTAAGATAGTATTAAAAGGAAGAAAAATAATATTGTTAATAGCTTTTAAAAATTCATAACAACTCATTAATTTGTAATTACTAATTATTATTACATTTTCACTTGGAATTTAATATGTATTTCATTAAAACTATAAATTTATTTTTGCATATTAAAATAATAAATCCAACAAATTAGTAAATTTGACTAGGAATTATAGTACAATATATTAATGAAATAAACATTTTATATTCTATGTTTTATAAGTTTTTTTAAATTTCCTTTTTTAAGTTTTATTATAATTTATTTTTTACCTGGATTTATTTATATTAAATGAATATATTTCTTAACAAATTTTAAGATTTTTAAGTTTTTAATTTGAATTTTAAGTGCATAATGTATTTGGAATGTTAGGTAGGTATTATGAAAATTGTCAATAACTAAATTTCATTGGATAAATAAATATTTTGTTTTATTAAAGTTACAGGTTATCCGGTACAATATCTTCAGTACAATTGGTACCTATCGAATGTTAGTCTTGGACAGGTTTTAATATATATGTTATTCTCGCCTTAAAAATTATCTTAAAAATAAAACGAATGCATAGTCGGTACAATCTACTTTTAAAACGATAGCGCTATCTATGAGTGTTTTATGGATAAATAAAAACATAATTAAATACAGAATTTAGAAATTTATCAAAATGTACAGTAGCTAAAATAGCAACAAGTTTATTTTATAATTTTCAATGCACTTTAAATGTATTATAATTTTTTCCCCGCTAACTACCATAGTGCTCACAGAGCGCTTCAATGTAAATAATTAAAATATCTGTATCACCAATTTGAAATTACATGACATTAATATTTAAATTCTAATAAAATAGATAAACCATAAGCAATAATATACGCCTCCTCTAATAAAAAATGAGTAATAATCAGTATTTGCCGTTATTGGGTATCGGATGAAATTTTTGAGGACATGAGAAAAACTATAGGAAACTCTTATATTGACTAAACAGACACATAGTACGAAAGAAATAAGAAAAGAGGAAAGGGGACGGTGAATAGAAGAATCCTTACAGGTGCTTGTTATGTAGCTCCTATGTGTACTATGTATATGTCTGTGTAAAGTATATGGTGGTGGGGTGAATGAAGAGGAGAAAGGTTGATATTGGGGAGGTTGAGGGAGGAAGGAGAGGTTTACTGACCCACGGCACCGTATTGATCACCGCCCCCTCAGTGTGGCTACCAACCCTACGGGGTGGTGGTGATCTCCCTTATCATCGACACGAGTGGTCGCACGTCAACGTATTGATCCCCCACTCCTTGAGCTCCTTTATATGTACTTGCTTGTGTGTATGTATATATATGTATATTGTAAAACCTTATAATTTTATGTGCTGGTTCTATATAGAGTTTGTCGACTTCAATCTAAAAGGTGATTCTTATTTGTCACCCACCACTCTATTATACTATATTGTACTGGCATACAAATATATAATGATATCTATATAATATTAATATAATATATTTTATATGTATATTATATAGGAATGATATTAAATTTAATTTTAAGGCTTAATTTGAAAAAATGATTATCCTCTGTTAATTCTATACTTTAAGTGTAATAACAAATGATAAATGAAATAAAAAATTTCAAAGTCTCATATTTTTATTAATTTTTAATAAATACAATATTTTAAAATATATTATATCTTTATGTACCTAATGTACATCTTAACAAACTAAATCATAATTTTTGCTTATTTATTAACATTATATATTACATTATTATTAAGTAATAAATACAGTATGAATGTATTACAATATATTATAATAAGTTATATTATCTTAATTATAAGACAATATTGACAACTGAAACATTATATTTTCAGTACTTCTTTTATTACAGTTCATCAAAAAATATTATTTGCCTACACTTATTTTGATAGTATTAATATTTTCGTTTTACTTTTCTCACAGTCCCTAATCTCTATGATGAAAATACGTGAAAGCGATAGCCGACAACCATGGTTTGCCCAAATGGCACACCCACTTGTGTTCTCTCGCATCTCCAACACATGCGTTCAACTCGCTAGTCGCTCGCCTTACATTATGTATATTTCTAATAAAAAATAAAAGAGAAAAAACTAAAACATAATAAGTCTATTGTCGCGGTTGACTTTCAAACACACATATAACCGGAGGGGATTTCTAAAAAAAAATGAAACACACATCCTTACTTCTTTATTATGTATACGCAGACTCGTTACTGTGGAAAGTATGGCTATTGTTCATCATCCATGTGTAAACAAAATATTTGAAAAATTTAGAGAATTTTCGAAATGCAATAATATTTTTTAAAATCTCTAAATAAATCCTTTGAAATTACTTTTTATTTATTTACTATTTAAGTTGCTGTAAATATGCAAAAATTTATATCCATAATACATGATAATATATTTATCATATTAAGACTCAAGAAATAATAAGTAGAGGATAAAAATAAATAAATAACCTTATTAAAATGTCTAATAATATTTTATCGTGATTTATAACAATATGCTAAAATATAGAGTATTTTATAATACATAATGTAAATACCACTTTATTTGTTAATATTATATTTTCATAAATAAAATTATAAAACACCAGAGTCGTTTTTAGGATATTTTAGGCTCCAGTGCCTAATATACGAGTATATATCTGGGCCTTTAAATATAAAAATTATGATAAACTTATTTTTTTAACATATAAATTATTATTATTAGATATTAATAAACTTAGTAATTTTACTAGTAAAAAATTCTTGTTTGAATTCGTCACTTATGACTTTATAATTAATTATAATTTTAATATATACAGCTATATTACGAATAGTTATTTATTTCAATTATACACAGTCCATTTTTACATTCAAAATTTATCACGATTTATTTAAACCCTATTCAACCCTGTCATATTTATAAAATATATTAAATATATAATAATATAATAAAATAATAAAATAATAATAAATATATAATACATTTATGAAATTATAAAATAAACACAATTTAAAAACATTTAATTAAAGTTATTTTTCGATTATTATGATTAATTTCAAATTTATCTACCACTTCTTCCTAGTCCGTAGATTTTGCTATTTTCTTTTCAATTCTTATCATAAATAAATCCGTCATTTTGTTTCGTATGTATGTCTAAGTCTCTTTAGGCAAGAAAAAGTTCTTTCGCACCCTGTACTTATTACCGAAATTGTAATTTAAATCATAACCATCTTGTATGTTTCATTAAAACAATTTTAGACTCTTCCAATAAATCAACAAAATTTAATACATTTGAATTTTATTTTATTTTATTCGGTAATAAATGTTTATTATACTTGGTATTATATTATGTTCTGATTTTAGTATTTTTTAATTATTTTTTTTAATTGTGTTAAAGGTTTTAGGTCATCATAACTCATAAAATTGGCATTTTTCGGATGTGGATAATCAATGGCGTACTGGAAATATTTGAAAATAACTCATTAATATTTTTATATAAAATTAGTAAAAATAATTTTGTAAGATCATATTTTTGATTGAGCTTGTTAATTTTCTAGTGATATATTTTCATCAATAAAAAATTATTTAAACTTTTAAGCAAAACGCTTTTTTCTTATATTTTGTATTTGTTCACTGGGTGATAGTATATTATTTGTTCTACAAATATTCAAAGCTTCTTCATATATAAATTTTCCATATATCTTTCCAAAATGTAAAAAATTAATTTATTCATCACATTTGTTAAGATAATCGTTAGAATCGTTTCTCATATTTTGAAATGTCATAATCAAAAATTTTACTATACTTTTTATGGTTCACAAAATTAGTGTGTTAGAAGATATTACCAAATGTAATACAAATATAAAATATATTCAGTGTAAGATCGTTTAGCGGTAACTGAACGATTTCCTTTATCGTTTATTAATTTATGGAGTAAAATTAATAAGAGACTTGGATATTTTTAAGAGCCAAAGTTGCAAAAACTTGTGCTGTCCTTCAAGTTAGGCAGATTTTTTTATTCTGCTCATATTATATAGTAATGGTCGTGTTATTATAAAAAACAATATCAAAGATAATTATGTAATAATAAATATCGTAATGGAAACTTTAAAATATGGTTTAACTTTTTTTACTCAATCATTTGAGTCTCAGATATTTCAACAATATAATGTTGGGGTATAATATAGTGGGATATAAATATTTTGGGTGGCCTGGCCACCCCAAGGCATCCCTTAACTATATGCCTGTTTACGGTTATCAATGTTATAAATATAACACTTGTCAATTAATATTTTCCTATCATGAACTAGATCATTTGGGGTTGAAATGATTTGTCGGATATACATGCATCTGTTACATTGATATATCATACATGTGTTCGATTCAAATGTTCGCCGAACAGAAACATTCAAATTTTGTAGAATATATTTTATTATACTGATATACTTATTAAATGTATTATATTTACCCATTAATAAGTAAACAAAAAATATTTTAAACAGTGTTATAATCGATAAACATTTATAATGTGGTAATAATATAGATAATATACTGAATTACTAGAGTCAAATGATCAAAATATTATTACAACTTAACGGTGTATTTGAGACTGCCACCATTAGTTTACAGCTGCAAGTAACGGTTACTGTTAAGTACGATATGGGTTCTTTCCTATTGTTTTGTAACCAAAAGCATTACTCATTCATAGACTGCTTGTAACAGAGGTGAATATTAAAAATTATCGTGTTTGACACATTTATAATTGGTTAACGTGTTATTAGAATTACACATGCAAACCATACAAACCTCGACATTCCATTTATTCGAGCAGAGAAATATACACATTATGCTGAAAACTGAACATTTGTGATATTATAGTTGACGACTATCAACGATAAAAGATAGAACTGAGATTGAAACGTACTTAAACCTAAAGAAATATTCTCATATTTATGAAGGATATTTCAAAGAGTAATCTTGTAGATATTTCATATTATATATAACCAAATGCAAATGCAATTCATAAAGATAAACATTTTTACACTAGATTTTTTTTACGAAGTATTATATATATTTCATTATAATTCAAAAGTAACACTAATAACTAGGAACCAGTAGTATTAGAAACATTATTTCTATATCATAATATCACTCTAAATATTAATCTATAACTAAAATGTGGAATTAAATTATACATTCACTAAAATTTGTTTATTGATAAATAGCATTGAATAAATGGCTTTTCAAATTTGATCTTATTGAATACATTACAATATTATTCTAGTCTTACGAAGTATATGTTTGTGAATATCGGAACATGGATTAATAAGCATGGATAAATATAATAATACTCCTGGTTAAGCTTTTATTTGTTTATTTCTATACATAAATTATTTGTTTATTTATTTAAATATCGTATATATAAGGTTTTGTTTTAATATCCTGAACGATCATAATTAGTAGGTATAACTGACTTACTATACAAGACTTTTTATTTATTATAATATATCCGTGTACTCCCAAAAAGCTACCAATTTTTTCAATGATATCAGTCAGTGGCATGGATACGTTTTTTTCTGAGGAGGAATGGCTTAAAGAATATTTATGATTACAAGTCAAACTAAATGTAGTTTTTATTTTATTTTGTAACACTATAATAATAGCGCAAATTTTCATAACAGAAGCTTTTATGTAGAATATAATAAACATTAAATACTAAAGAAAAACATAACAATAACAAGGGTACTTAAATCAACAAAAATAAATAATAAATACTAACTGTTAAGTAGGTAATAGTTGAGTTATTATTTTATAAGAAAAAATAAAGCTATGCGTAATTCATTATATTAATGTATAGTAATATTATACGTGTTCATTTATATTTTTATTATTTACCTATTATTTTAAATCCTTACCAATATAAAAAAAGTTTGGGGAACGGAAACCCTTAAGACCTCCCTTCTTCGCCACTAGTTATCAAGTTTTGGAATAGTTTACCACCTATTCTAGTGTATACTATTAATCATATTTTATATTTCCTACACGATGGACTTATTTATGTTTGATATTTTTGTAAATGGAATACAAATGTTCGTCAATGGTTTTTCTGAAATGTTAACCGTAAAAACATTTTTCGCATATGAGCCTATAAGCGTGTTTTGCCACGTTAGCGGCTGAAAACGATTCCGATACAGCGTCTATTAATACACTTTTAACCTTTATTTAGTGGCTCAAAAGACCGCGAGTCGTCTGACCTTTCTCGGCAGCCTACCTACGGACCATTATAAACCGGAGACGCAACGAGCGCGTTGAGAAAACGGGGAGAAAAAAAAAATGAAATAAAAAGAAAAAAAAAACGTCTTTGGCAACCGTCACGGCCGATAACCGTAATTACGGACACACGAGGGGAATGACAATTGGACACAGTCGATTCGTAAATAAACGGGCCTATACAATGGGCCGTCGCCGTTATCACGCGGGCACGTGTGCTATTTCGAGCCAAAACGTATTGATAACGCGCGACGCGACGAAATTCTTCGTCGTACGCCGGTGTGCGTGTGCCGCTGTCGGCGGCGGGCGCGTGTCTAGATCGGTTTGCGCGCGCGCCCGGCACCCGCTTGGCCGGAGGGGGACGCGGGCGTGGCACTTAACACGCGTAACAGCCTTGGGGCTCGTCGCCGTCGTCAACACCGCCGCCGCCACCGTCGCCTGCCGCCGCCGCCGTCGCCGCCGCCGCAGCGCAAGCACTGTGCGCGCCTCACACGCAGTGTGTCTACTGTGGTGTGTCGTATCGTCACGTTACCGTAATTGTCGTCGTCCTCGTTGCCGGCATACGCTCGTCCGTGCGTCTCTTTTCTCGCGACCGTTTGCCGCGAAAATTCGCGTCAGGTTTTCCCCCGTCTGCAGCCATCAGTTCGTCCGATGCGCCTCGTCGTGATTGCTTCGAAATCGCTGTTTACGTTTTTATCTACTTTCTTGATACTCGTTTTTCTCTTCGTCCGTGTCCCGTTTTCACCGAGAACGAAATACGTATCGTCCTTCGTTTAGAGTCCACGCGTCACGAGAACTACATCGTTTTTCCGCACCATCACCTCACCGTCGTGTAAGTACCCATCACCACCTAGTATACTATCTTCTTAACATCACGTGTTCTTTACGCCGACTTACACAAAATGATAAATTATGTTTATAATATAATGATTCTGGGATGTCTCTGTAAGACGGGTCTACGTCTTTTTGAGCCATAAAAACGGTTTACGTTTCTGTTCTGGATCCTCAAATACATCTACGTCGTTTAAAGTTTAACACAGACCGACTGATGCGTGTCGTTGCATTTCAGTCGAACGGACTTGCGGCTTTTTATTTTCAAAAAACTATCGACTCGTGTGGCTGACAACTAGAAGCATTCGGTAGGAAAGTTTTAGGGGAGGCTGCAAATTAAAACTATTAATTCCTATTAGAACTAGAAATTACCATTATTATTTTCAGTTTATTTAATTATTGAACTGTTAAGTGTTGTACTATACAATTATTAATGAAAACCGATTCAATTTCGTTCATGAACCACGGTTGTCCTCGTTGTCAAATCCATTGATAACATTACATGTTGCGATTGAACATTTGAAAACGACGTTTAACCGTTTCGTTAAACTAATGACTAAAGCTTAATAATAAAATTCATCTAAATTACTATTAATATATGTGGCTACGATATAATACAAAAAACAACGATATAGGTAGTATATAATTTTTTATTCAGATCAATATATCTATATTATCATTATTAATTTAACTATTTAATAGTTGATAATGATTTTAAGGGGAAAATTATTTTAAGCCTCCCCTAACAGTACTAATGACGAAATGGAGTGTTTTAAATTTTTATCGAGTTTGGAGAGGTTAAACTTTTTGAAAATTAATAATTATTTTTTATATATGTACAATAGTTTGGTAAGCTGATTTTTGTTTTGATTTTGATGATTTGCTTATGAGATGAGGGGGAAAGTCAAAACTCGAGCACTCTCCGTAATTACATGACCTAATGTAGTTACCTATATACAACTTTGTTGCAATGTGTTTTTGGTGAAGTCGTTCCTCATATTTTTTGAAGTATTTATCCGATTTATTAATAAGATGAAAGCCCATAGATTAAAATTCATTATTACAATCTATAATTTTATGTTCGATTTCAAATATTCTATAAAATAAATAATTTAGTATTAGTTTTTTGTAATTCAATTTTTTTTTTTAATTTTTATGTATACTTTCAATTCTTAAAATGTGATTTTAAATGAATACCTTATATTGTCATGTATAGGATTACTAATATTTAAAAATAACTGTTTACATTGTTTAAATGATCAAAAAATTATTTTCCTTTAAGAATTAATTCTTTTTTTTGTAAAACTACCGAGACTGAAAAAACATGAATAATTATAAGTTGATGATTTTGCATGACAAATCTGCATTTTTAAAAGCTTATAGTATATATGTCTATAGTATACCTACTTTCGCTAAGACACTAAAACAGAATAAACTAATTTCTAAAGTCTTGGTTTGTTTTCAATGCTATTTATATACTTATTTAAAATAAGATATTTATTTCTTCATTTCTTATATTTAACTATAAATAACCTGTGAAAAATATCTTCAATTTCGATCAGGTTATTGCTCAAAATTTTTTGATAGTGTAATATCTCAACTGCTAATTCCCATAAAAATTCAATATTTTTCAAGAATGCTTTTAGGTCATACGAAATAAATGTTAATCATTCTGTACCTAAGTTACGATTATTGGTGGTGATAAATTTAACATGAAAACAAATATTCATTTAACTCAATAATTAACGAGAATTCAAACTCAATAATAAAATTAAGTTGACTTTATCGTACCTCAGAATAAGTTTCAATTGTGCAATTAAATCGATTAACCATCCAAAAGGCATACAAAATCACCTTACTTTCCCTGTATTATGTATACTGAATACTTGAAACTTCTCCAGAAACTTCGAGAAATTACTAATGTATATTTGCAGTAGCCAGTAGGTACTTATCTCACAATAAATATAATGTCCAAATAATTGCGCGATGTTTGAATTGGTAATACCGAATATTTATAGCAAAAAAGAATTCGGATTTATGCGACTAGTTTCGGGAACTCACCAACTATGGGCGTTTTACTGTGGGTTTTACCTTAGTATTATTGTATCGTCAACAAGTGGTTTTGGTTACTGTGCATGCCGTTATTATATATCAGCTGGTAAGCTTTTCTCATATTGGACGGTAGAATAAATTCTATATTTTAAAATATCTAAACGCTCATATACTTATTGTATTTATTGATATAGATTGTATATATACTACTAAATGTTTAAAAAAAAATATTTTTACTTGGATGACGTAATATTATTATATTGATAGCTAATTTGTTTGCACTCCATTCGTTTTATTAACTACTTAAGAAATGCTATTTTTGGGACTTAATGTTGTTTATTGCTATTGTTGTTAAATTTAATTAATTAAGAAACTAATGACTTGACCTCATTCGAAGATTTAAAAATAATTTTAATTAGGCGTACACAACATTTAATTTTATAATTTATTTTTGGATATAAATTATAATAAAATATTACTATAATAAAGAAAATATTTTCTAAAGTTTGTAGCAGCTGAAATTAAAACTATGTTAAAACTTTTTAGTGAGTAACCACAATTATTATAGTATAATATTAAATAATTATAAAACTAAATTTAATATTATTATTATTTTAGTACAGAAATTGCAATTAAATAACTTATAAAAGTCTACTACGATCGCTATTTTTATCCTCGTTTGAAATACTTTCTATACTTTCATGTGAAACTACCTTAGCAATATTTTAAGTAATTTTTATATAATATTGTTAAGTAATTTGTGTACAGATAATTTAAATGAGAAGACATTTTATAGTTATTGATGAATATATTTTTAATTGTACGCAATAAGTATTAAACCGGGTATTAAACATACAATTATTGCAGTTTAGCTAAAATAGCGGAAAAATGATTTCCTAAGTTTTTCTTGTATCAAAATAATAGTTTTTTTATTATAAATTAACACAGTTAAAATTATTTAGTATTAAAATATACCAGTACTTGTAGTTTACTATCATCTACGTTTTTTGTCAACCCGAAAAATGGGATATATTTGGCACCTTTCACGTTGTAGCTAGTGATGATTTCAATCAAATTATGTTTCTTATTTATATTTTCTCACGTATAGATGACAGGTATTTATTATGCTATTAATTAACACGATATTTGACCGTTGATATCCACGATCCACCACACCTCGTTTAATCAGAAAATATGTCATTTTATTTAATCACAAAAGAAATTTTTATTGGTTGACGTGTTTTATTGACAATAATTATTAATTTAAATCTTATACGTAGTAATAGCCTTGGTTTGCGTAATAAGGATTGTTCCTAACTCTGTCTTACCAATCATCGGATATGATTGTATTACACCAGCCGTTTCTATATTAAATATGAGGTTCTTGTTCTTTATTAAGCGGATAAACAGTTTATATTATGAAAAAGCGAAAAAAATGTTTTAATTTATTAATATAGAAAGCTCATTTATTGACTCATTGCTCATTGATTAACATCGAAATTCAATCTCAACATTCAACAAAAGTATACGTTATTTGAATACTTTCATGCATTTCACATGCTATAACTTGTATACAGTATATAGATCTAATATAATTATAATAATAATACAACTAATTTATCAAATTATATTTTTAATTGTTTGTATAGGTCAAATATCTGCAATTATACTTAATGATATTTCTTTCGAAACTTTTTTTTAAATTTCTTAACCAATTAATACTTGCATTTTTTGGATAATATTTCATACGTTGCTATATAATAATGGCAATAATTTTACTGATTATTCATTGACAATTAAAAAGCATGTGGTTGTATTTGAGCATTGAGAATTTATTTAAATCACGTGATATCTCACGTGTTCGTCTATATTGTAACAAGATATGTATTTATATATATATATATATATATATATGTGTCCATATTTATAATTTTCTTTTTTTTTATTAAATGCATACTTTTAATTTCGTTACCATTTTATTCTTTTTTCATAAGTCTTCCACGTTTACTTCTAATGTGTGTATTTATTTTATTTTATCAGAACTTGGTCAAAGGTTATCATTTTGCTCTGACATAGACGTTTGCATTTATAATATATAGCATGTTGATGCCTGCAACCGGTATATTGTTTGTATATATACATGAGCATACAATTATGTATTAAAAACCGGAGTGCTTATACATGTACTAAGATATTTTGTGATACGTCTGCCATATTATACCCGCACTTAACACTAGAATGTTCTATAGATTTAAGATAAAAACGAAGCCTAGATTACACTCCCTTTAACATACCATGTCTGCTACACTGCATGTATGCTTTGATAATATTATGGAAAATATAGTTAAGAAATTATAGCACATTAATTGCATGTAGAAGGCTGGAAGACAAATCTATATATATATATATATATATATATATATTGACATTTTTATAACAATTACATTTTTAATATTTATCCTAATTGTGTTTGTCTTCATAATTCAATTCATATGCTTTTTGTGGGTTTAAAATTATTTTTTTTTACAGTTTTGAATCACCAACAGTTAACATATAATTTCAACAGAAATATATAATCTTTCACTAATATAAATTCATCAGGTTTTATAAGAAATTGATAATAGATGTTTGAATAATTTTTGGAATAATTATTCTAAAATATGTGGCAAATGTACTGTGCTTACAGAAATGTACGAGTATATATGAATTGTATTTATATTTATTCAAACGTGTAGGTAAGACCGTGCAAAATTTGAATATCATGTCTTCAAAAGTATTGGTTTTAAGAGTACATTACAAATACGAATATTATATATTTTATGTTTGAATACTGAATATATATTTATATGTGCTGCATTTTTTTCTAATATATTTTAATGAATATTTGTTGGTACGTCAATAATAATTATTAATTAATCAATTATTGATGTCTTGATATAATTGTTTATG